AAAAGAAATACCGGAAAGATAAATCAGAATCTAAACAGATTGGTTGTTTATAAAGGGAAACTGGGGAAAGCTCTAAAGAAGAAAAGTGTTTATAAGGAAAGAGGGATGAGGAAAGAGTGATACTATAATGCATTTTGAAAAACAAGTCTTAAAATTATAGAAGTGTTTCACATAGCACCAAAACACCAAGATAATTATGGCAAATAAGACTTGGAGCAAACTCAGAATAGAAATGCAAATGACAGTTTTTCACAAGGACAAGTGTGTAAGTTAGTAGTTCTAAAGTTACTTTGAATATATAACAGGAAATAAATTGATTTAGATAATCAAATTAGGATTTCTTAATGTTGGAGAAGTTATAAATAGGAAGCTTAATATGTACTCTAGTTTTGGAATGGAATTAGGGACACTGATACAAACTCCTGGTTATACCTATGTACACAGATAATCCAAACATAGGTGCATATATATGTGTAGGTTATTGTACATACCTTATTTCCTATCTCTGTTCACTGAGAGGGCCCAAAAGCACTTGCACTCTGTGTCAAGAAGTATAGATCCCATGACTGATGTAGAAATACAAGATGAGTCTGAAGCCTCTGGTGGTTTGAAAAATAAGGAAGTACTCAATGAAGAAAGGGAGACTTGTCAAAAGTACACAACTGGAAGGTGCTCCTAATACCAAAGCTGGAACAATTGAAGCAACAAAATATGATGGCATTGGATTTTAAACCATACCATAAGATAAATATACATGAGTTTATTAGTTTTCTGCTACTATGTAACAGATTGACATAAAGTTAGGAACTTAAAACAACACATAGTTCGATGGTTAGTTGACATCATTCCATTTTTGTTTGGCTTTGTTGCTCTGAGGTGAGGTGTAGTGTATCATGGTGGAAGCTTGTGGTAAAACAAGCTGCTCACCTCATGGCAGCCTGAAGGCAAAAGAAGAAAGAGCAGGGGACCTGCATTCCATAGTCCTCTTTGTTTGACACACTCCCAGTAACCTAAGACCACACATACACGAAGGTCCACCTCTTAATGGGTCCACCACCTCACAGTGGTGTCATGGAACAGGAACCTAGTCTTCAACTCCTGAGGGACATTTCAGATGCAGGCTATATAACAAGGAGCAAGGCCCTCAGGTTCTGGAGAACCTCCTGGCCCCTCCTTGCAACCCAGTTAACATCATAGATACTGTGTACAAGACCTAAGCCTTCTCTCAAAGTCAGGCCCATGTAAGATTATCTCAATTTCATTCATTTTCAAAGTGCATTGATTAGGAACTTCAGTTACATCTGCATAGTCCCTTCAGGTTTGCCACAACTACAGGAGTGAAAGTCCAGCTGTTGCGGGAAGACTGTCGGACCAGCGAGAACAAGACTCAAACCCAGGTGGATGGAAGAAAGAAAGATTTATTACGCTAGCGGGCAGGCACCTGGATCTCTCCAAAAATGGCACCGGCCCCTCATCTCAAGGCACGGGGTTTTTACCCCTCAACCCCTCAGAATGCGGAAGCAAGCAAGAGGGAAGAACAAAAGCAAATGTGGCAGTTAGCCTCTGGCTGGGAGGTTACAGCTTATCACACTAACACATCTGTGAAACAGGGGCCCAGCCTGGGGAAGGAGCTTGCCTTCAGATCTTTCCCTGGGTTTCTTTATCACAACACATTTGTCGTATTTTTTAGTTAGATGCCAAGGCCCTCAGTGAAAAGGAGATTATACCAGAATACTCAGATTATACTCAGAATAGAATTATACTTACTACTTGTGTAACCACTGTAGTAAACATGGCTTTTCCAAGAAATGCTGAGGTAAGTGGGTGAAAGTTTGAAGAGACCACAAGATTTGTACAGTCTCATGTATCTCCCCTAAAATATTTATTAACCACAGAAGGGAAATGAGTAACTTGAAATGGACACCAACCCCACCAAAGCAATCAAGACAGACATCACCAGAAAGGGGACATGTCAGTGTCTGAATTCCCTGAGAGAATGAACTGAGAAGAGTACAGTGTTTTTATGGTATCCTTCCCAGAGTGCATATCTTAATTTCAGTCCTGAAAATATGTCAGCTCAAATCAGACTGGGGAGCATTGTACAGCATAACTTGTCAGTACTCTTCAAAAGATCATAAAACATAAAGCAAGACTAAGGGACTTTTATAGGCTAGAGAGACGAAGGAGAAATATCTAAATACCATGTGGGATGATCTTAGCAAAAGGACATTTATTGGAAAAATAAGCAAAATTTAAATAAGGTCTGTAGATACATTTCTCTTCTAACGATTATATAATGGCTATATAACATGCTTCCATTAAAGAAGGTGGGATATAGGATATAAGGTAGCACTGCAGTGTTCTTGAAACTTTTCTCTAATTAAAAAAATTATTAAACAGAAAAGTTTTTTTAAAAAACACTAGTGTAGGCTTGGGGTAAGCATTTTAACTCAGCAAAAGTAGCGATCACAGTAATTTATTGATATGCTTATTTTAGTTTGATGCACCAAACTTTTACATAATGTGTACATAGTCATTGGAAAATAAATAGGCATAAAATGGTGAGACTTATTCTAATTTACAGTAGTATTTTCCATTTGTACTTTCTTCCAGTGTGTATACATTATTTTAGACATAGACAAGAGAAAGACATGGGGCTTAAAAACAAATTCATTTGAATGTTAAAGCTTCCCATAAAGTTGATTTGTCCACTTTGCATGACCATGTTCTCTTTTAAAATAATTACTAAGCTATTATCATGAAAGGATGTCCAATTTTGTCAAAGGCTTTTTCTGCATCTATTGAGATGATCATAGGGGTTTTGCCTTTGCTTCTATTAATATGCTGTATTACATTTAATGATTTGTGTATGTTGAACCATCCCTGTATTACTGGGATGAAACCGACTTCATCATGGTGTGTGATCTTTTTGAAACATTGTTGAATTTGGTTTGCTAGTATTTTATTGAGAATTTTTGCATCTAATTTCATTAAAGAGATTGGTCTATAATTCTCTTTTGTTGTTGTTGTGTCCTTTTTCAGTTTAGGGATGAGTGTAATAAAGGCTTCATAGAATGATTTTGACAGTGTTCCTTCTCTATTTCATAGAAAATTTTGAGGAATGTTGGTATTAGTTCTTTAAAGGTCTAATAGAATTCAACATTGAATCCCTAAGATCCTGGATTTTTCTTTGTTGGGAGACTTGTTGCTTCAGTTTCATTGCTTGTTATAGATTTATTTAGGTGATTTATATCCTCTTGGTTCAGTTTTGGTTGGTCATATGTGTATAGAAATTTGTCTTTTCTAGATTTTCCAATTTATTTGAATATACATATTCCAAAGTAATCCCTAATTCCCTGAATTTCCTGGGTGTTTGTTGCACTCTCCCCTTTTTTATTTCCAAATTTATTTATTTTGGTCTTTTCCCTCCTCATTTTAGTCAGATTTGCTAGGAGTTTATCAATTTTATTTATCTTTTCAAACAACCAGCTTTTTGTTTCATTGATTCTTTGTTTTTGGTTTGTTTGTTTTTTGTTTTTTTGGTCTCTGTTTCATTGATCCCTGCCCTTATTTTTACTATTTCTCTCCTTCTGCTAGTTTTGGGTTTAGCTTATCCTTCTTTAGCTATGAGTTTGAGATGTAGCATTTATTTGAGATCTTTCCATAGAAGGAATGTACTTCAACATAATAAAAGCCATATAGCCAACATAACACTAAATGGATTAGAACTGAAACCATTTCCTCTAAGGTCAGGAATGAGACCAGAGTGTCAGCTCTCTCCACTCTTATTCAATGTAGTCTTGGAATTCTTAGCTAGAGCAATAAGACAGGAAGAAGAAATAAAAGGAATTCAAATAGGAAGGGAAGAAATCAAATTATCCCTATTTTCAGATGTCATTATTTTATACCTAAAATACCTGGAAAACTCTACCAAAAAACTCCTAGACATCATAAACACCTTTAGCAAAAGTAGCAGGATACAAAATCAATTTACAAAAATCAGTAGCCTTTCAATATAACAATAATGAATAGAATATAAGAAAACAATACCATTTATAATACCCTCAAAAAAAAATACCTAGAAAGTGAAAGACCTCTACAATGAAAACTATAAACCATTGAAGAAAGATCATTGAAGAAGATGACAAAAGATGGAAAGATCTTCCATGTTCATGGACTAACAGAATGAATATCATAAAAATGGCTATATTACCAAACAATCTACATGTTAATTGCCATCCCCAACAAAATCCAATGACATTCATCACAGAGATTGAAAAATCAACCCTAAGGTTCATTTGGAAGCACAAAAGACCACGAATAGCCAAGGCAAAAAGAGCAATGGTAGAGGTATCACAATAATCAACTTCAAACTGTACTACAGAGCTATAGCAATAAAAAAAAACCCAGCATGATACTGACACAAAAATGACATGAATATCGAAGGAGCAGAATAGAAGACTCAGATATCAAACCGCACATCTACACCCACCTGATTTTTGACAAAGGCACCCAAAACATACAACGAGAAAAGACAGCCTCTTCAACAAATGTTGCTGGAAGAACTGGATATCTGTATGCAAAATATTGAAACTAGATCCATGTTCTTATAGTAAGAATCTTAGTACAAAACCTGAAGCTTTGAAGTTAGTGTAGGAAAGAACAGAGATTACACAAGAATTAATAGGCATAGGCAAGGACTTCCTCAGTAGAACTCAAATGGCTCAGCAACTAAGAGAAAGGATTGACAAATGGGACTACATGAAACTAATCTCCTGCAGAACAAAAGAAATGGTCACCTGATTAAAGAAGCAGCCTACAGATTGTGAGAAAACCTCTACCAGCTACACATCTGACAAGGGATTAATCATAATGTACAGGGAGTCCAAAAAACTAAACTCCCCCAAAATCAATAATCTTATGAAGAAATGAACAAATAAACTGAACAGAGCTTTTTCAAAGGAAGAAATCCAAGTGGCCAAAAAACACATAAAGAAATGCTCATTATCCCTATAAAGGAAAAATCAAAAACATATTAAGATTCCACCTCACTTCTGTTAGAATGGCTATCATCAAGAGCACAAGCACAAGGTGTGGCCTGACGGGCCACACCGCCTTTCGCCACACGTGGTTTCGGCACGATGCCTAAATCCAAACGAGACAAGAAAGTTTCCTTAACCAAAACCGCCAAGAAAGGCTTGGAACTGAAACAGAACCTGATAGAAGAGCTTCGGAAATGTGTGGACACGTACAAGCACCTCTTCATTTTCTCTATGGCCAACATGAGGAACAGCAAGCTGAAGGACATCCGGAATGCCTGGAAACACAGCTGGATGTTCTTTGGCAAAAACAAGGTGATGATGGTGGCCTTGGGACGAAGCCCGTCCGATGAGTATAAAGACAACCTGCACCAGGTCAGCAAGAAATTGAGGGGTGAAGTTGGTCTCCTTTTCACCAACCGCACAAAGGAAGAAGTGAATGAGTGGTTCACCAAATACACAGAGATGGATTTCGCCCGAGCTGGGAACAAAGCAACTTTCACTGTGAGCCTGGATCCAGGGCCCCTGGAGCAGTTCCCCCACTCCATGGAGCCACAGCTGAGACAACTGGGCCTGCCTATTGCCCTCAAAAGAGGTGTGGTGACCCTGTTGTCAGACTATGAGGTGTGCAAGGAGGGCGATGTGCTGACTCCAGAGCAGGCCCGGGTTCTGAAGCTTTTTGGATATGAAATGGCAGAATTCAAGGTGACCATCAAATACATGTGGGATGCACAGTCAGGACGGTTCCAGCAGATGGGAGATGTGGAAGATGGCCTGCCTGAGAGCGCACCTGAGTCTACTGAAGAGTCAGAGGATGACAAAGACGACTGACTTGGGGAGACTGAGGCCTCCACAAGACCATGCAGGACTGCTTTCCCCCTTGTGGGAGAGCCTATTTATTTTGCTGTGGATGAAGACAAGGGAGGGTGATACAGGTTGACTTTTTTTCCATAAAGAATAAAATCATGTCCACAAAAAAAAAAAAAAAAAAAGCACAAGCAACAATAAATGTTGGCAAGGGTGAGGGGAGAAAGGAACCCTCATACATTGTAAGTGAGAATGTAATTAGTACAACCACTATGAAAACCAGTATGGAGGCACCTCAAAAAACTAAAAATAGAACTGCCATATGATCCAACAAGTCCTCTCCTATGGATATACCCAAAGGAATGTAAATCAAGTTATAATAAAGACATCTACATACCCGTGTTTATTGCAGCATTATTCATGATAGCTAAAGTATAGAAACAGCCAAGGTGCCCCACAACTGACTAATGGGTTAAGAAAATGTGGTATTTACATTCCATGGAATTTTATTCAGTCTTAAAGAAGAATGAAATTTTATCATTCACAGGTAATGGATGGAACTGCAGAACATAGTCTTAAGTGAAGTTAGCCAAATTCAGAAGACCAAAGGCCATGTGTTTTCTTTTATGCAGGCAATATAGGCCCAATACAAATACAGTATTATTCAAAACAGGTCATGCTAAGGGGAGGTCATTAACAAGAAAGGGAGAGTAAAAGAAGGAAGTTAAGGTGAATGTGGTTGATACCCTTTATACACAAGAATGAATATAGAATTTTTAAGCCTGTTTAAGTCATCATCAGAAGGGTACTAAGATAGAAAGGAAAAAAATAGGGGAATTGAATCAGTTCAGGTTATAATACAGATACACATGGAAATGTCACCCTAAAACTCCCTGTATAGCTATCTTAAACAAACAACGTCTTTTTTTCAAAATTGGAGAACAGGAAGGTAAAACAAAACAGGTCCTATCTGGGAGCTCGTACCAGGGGGTTGGGAGTGAGGAGGATATAAGGAAATGGTGTAGGAGGAAAAACATGGTGCTAATATTATGTCCATGTATGAAAATGGAAAAATGAGACCTATTGAAAGTATTATAGGAATGGGGGAGGAGAGATAAGGAGAATTATTAGAAGGAATGAATTCAACTCTGATACAGTGTAAGAATTTTTGTAAATGTCACAATGTATCACCGCCCAGTACAATAATAATATAATAAAAAATAAAATAACTACTAAACTTCATTTGAAAGGTTTGACTTACAACCAACATATGTCATGTAAAAATCCATAGTTGGGAAGGTGTTTACCTAATTCAGTTGGTTCAAAGGCCCTGAGTTTTCTTCTTAAGATGGACCATAGACATAGAGTCCCCTATGTTACATTTCACAAGTGCAATTCCTGAGTCATCATCTGCCACAGTCGTGCTTATATTTGTGTGGCTAGGGGATGAAGTTATTTCCTATTAACTGTGGTTACGTAGTAATTATATAACTATGGATAAAATGATAGTAAGTAAAAAAAGAGTGAGGAATTTAAAATGATTTGGGCATGCCTGTCTTTAACAACAAGTGGCTCTTGTTCCTTTTGTTCATAGGATGAATGTGATACTTGGATTTCATTGTTGCTTTGAAGGGGCATTGCCCTTAGAATTGCACCAGACAACAGGTAGTAGTGCTTGATTCTGGCAGTTTCATGGACCATGGATGGGTTTCTTACCTCCTTTTTAATTTTTGCTTGTCATTATATAGAAGATCAGGCATGCATGGTAGCTATGGTGTCCTGCGTTAGCATGAACCTGCTGTTTCTTTTTACTATCTGCAAAAATGATCATTATAATGTAGCACTTACTGTCTTACTGTTACTAATTCCTCAATGACACTTTTGAAAGTCTATGTTTGGCTACAGAGTGCTTTAACTTTCTAATGGAACCATAAATTGGGATTGTGGTATATTTCATTTCACAGGAAGGATGTCATTTGCAATGGACACATAGCAACTTTTATAGATCTGTAGCCAAGTTAGTGACCAGTATTTGTCCTTGAAATTGTTCCATTCCAGAATGTTAAGCATTTTCACTTAATATTTAATTACTTGGTACTAATATTAGCTTACTACAAATGTCTAAGAGGAAATAAGTAGTTGAGCAGACTCTGCACTGTTGAAACTTTTATCCTACTAGCTATGGTGCTCATGTTTGCAGCACCTATTTGTCAGGATTTAGGATTTTAGATCTTTGGTTTTCACTTTATCTCAGAGTGAGAATGGCAGTTAAACACTCAGGAAAACCCAAAAATACATTCATAAGTTTTATGTTCTTCTCTAAAAGTGAGATGCCTAAGCTCCAAAATACAGTTTGGGAATTGTTTTATAGTACTGTTTTCACAGTTATTTATATCTGTTATCTAAACTGATAAGTCATCTGTTTGCCTCTGGCTGTCACTGAAACAACCCTTATTAGGGTTAGTCATGAATGGCAGTCCCAAGAGACTCTGGGACTGAGATGCCATGTTGAAGAAATGCGAGATGGTTGTTCTTCACAAAATTCAAGGCTTTGCATCCCATGCAGCATCACCTCCACGGGGGTGAATTGGTGGCAAACTTCAGAACATTAGTTTTGTCCTATACTCAACTGTGACTCTTTTCTGTAATACACAGAACTATGGAAGAGTATGTCATATGGGATCAAAACAGTTAACCTTGAGCTAGCATGACCACATGCCTACCATACCAGAGAGCTGTGCAGATAGTGTGTGTGTATATTTCTCTTTTCCATTTATTGTATCAAAGGGAGAAGATAGAAGATAAAGTAGCAAGGAACACATCCCATGTAAGCTAATGCCTTGAGAATTGTGCTAAATTCAATACTTTTTAATTGTCTTTAGTCTTGCAAATGTTCCTAAACTTCTTAGCCAGAAAGTGAGTTGAAATCAATTCTCTCTTGTGATTTTTATTTGTCCGTTCCTTTTGTTCATATTCTGATATTATGATTTAGTGTACATTTATCACACCGAGAGAGGGAGTAAAGGATTGAGAGACATGATTCCTGTCTCAGGAACCCTACATTACTCTTGGAAAATGAACAAACATTAAACACATGGAAATTAAATAGATGCTGTTGCTATATTTGCAATAAAGTTCAAAAGAGAAGCAGAATATTCTCTTCTGTAGTAATAGCATATGCCACATTTATAGTAATGTGTTTTACATTTCTTAGTGGAGGTATTCTAGGTAAGTTGAATCTTTGACTTATGCAGACTGTTTAGAAATCTGTTATTAGTTGCTACAGCGATTGCATATTACCAATGAGTATGTGTCAGCCATTCTGCACATCTGCCCTCCTGGAAGTGTGATTAGACTCAACAAATTGAGTTTGTCTCAGAAGTCTTGGATTTGCTAAATGCTCAAAGTGTGTGTCAGGAAATTTCAGCTACAGGTTGATTTATCCAGGAGTTTGGAAACTCATTTGGTAAGAAATTGAACTTTTCAGCAAGTCTTTTGGTGCATATGGCTATCATGTTTCCTTTTCACTTTACAGGGGGAAGAAAAGATGAACTACTATACTTCTTTTTTGAGCTCTCTATCTTTTTCCATGTGGGTCTGTGCCTTTTGTGACCATAAAAATTAAATTTAACCATGTCTTGGTTGTACACCATTGCAGTATCAATGTTGTGTTTTACCTTCCCCTCCTGTGTTTTACAGGCAGTCAGATGCCACCTCAACCACCTGGGAGCCAGTCAGAATCCAGTTCCCACCCTGCCTTGAGCCAGTCACCAATGCCACAGGAAAGAGGTTAGTCTTCAGTTCACATCCTACATACCCACTGGGCTTTGAGTATATAAGGCTTAACTGAGTTTGCTTCCCTCTTGCCTCTTTAATTTTCCAAAAGAAGAATGTGTTTCTTTATCAGATAAACATTAAGCTAAAGATAACAGCAAACACAGGGAGGATTCTTTCCTGCAGATTTAGTGACATTTTACCAAAGTCCAATAAACACCCAAAGAATATATTTATCCACATAGAACCATGAAGTATAGTCTACACGTGACTATACTCTGATTTGATTTATGTACAAATACCTGTGTACAAATAACTATGAACGATTCAATTTGGGCATCACTCTTAAGAAGCAAAGTGTGTATATGAATACATGTGTGTGCTGTTTTGACCAATCACTTGTTCCATGATATTTAATAGTAAAATTTTAAGGTCTCTGAACTGGAGCAGACCTGAACATTCACATAGTTCAGTCACCTCAGTTTACAAATAAACTGACGACCATTGAAGTTGTAGTGATTTCCTTATTCCCAGAAACTAGTTTCTGACCCTTGTTTGGAAGCCCTGTAATGTTAACTAGTACTTAAGAAGAACACAGAAAACCCTCTCCAAGACCCTCAAACAGCATCTTCCTGACCTTGCAACTGGTAAGTAAGTGTTAAGGTTTGAAAACATAGAAGATTAAATGTAGGGCAGCAATGAGGAAAACTAGTTAAGCTAAACTCTTAAACCAATGCACTTTCAAGGCAAAATCTAGACATTTCCATTGAGGTAGCTGCATGTAAATTACTATGTTTCTTAGGGTTTCTTTCCTCTGATTGCCTTTATTCCAGTGAAGAATGGTTTTGGTAACTGATAATGAATACATAACAATCTAAGTGGTTGTACTGGCCATTTCCTTCAAAGAGCAAATGTTAGTTTTACAAGTTGCTAAGTCTGAATTGATATTTAAAAGCATCTTCCCTAAACATCCTCTTAAAAGCACTCTGTTGTGCTTTTTATTGGTTAGACAACCCCCAATAAAGTAGAACTTGATATTTTTAATGATGGTTGTATTAAATGATGCATTGCCACACATATGTTAAATTTCCTCTAAAATTGGGTAACAAGGATCAAAAGAAAATGTCTCTTATTTTTTAAAATGTAGGAAGAAATGTTAGCTCATAATAACTTCTGATACAATAATAAGAATATCTGTTTGTTTTATCATCATTTGATGTGTACTGACAGTGTACATAGTGAATAAGGTAAATCCAAGAAAACTCTTCTAGAAAATTCCCAGAGCTAGGGGAATTTTCCCAGAGCTAGGGCTCAAGTGATAAAGCACTTGCTTAGCAAGCACAAGGTCCTGAGTTCTAATCCCAGTACCACCAAAAAAAGAAGAGAAAATTCCCCATTGTGATTCTGTGTATTGAAAAGGAATTTAACTTCACTGATACCCATACATTTGATACCTGTCCTCCTTATTTAGGGAAGTGATAAAAGAAGCAGATTTAAAAAAGAAACTCTGATAAGCTAGCACCTATTTTTAAAAATGTGTTTCTCCAAAACTGTGTAATGGGATATGACTAGGTAAGAATATAGCATCTCTATTACTAAGTGCTGAAGTAGCCACCGGTTCTCTTTAACGTTGTTTTAATAAATTTGATAAAGATAAGATAGTAAAGTACCACACTGTCCCCATTTTCTTAAAGGTATGCTCAGGAGATCCTTTTTTTTTTTTCATGGCACAGTCTAGAAACACACTTGCCTGAACACAGGTGCACAAAGCAAGAGATAATCCACCTACTTCTGTGTGGAGGGCAGTTTTCTGAGCCCTGCCCAAAGGTCCCATGGGGTACTGCAACACTGCCACCACTACCCTAGAGCCAAGTTCCTCCAGGCTAAAGAAGCTGAACTCATTACTCTCTGGTTCCTTCCTGCTTGGTTCTGTGTCCTTTCTTAGGAAGAACATATACTGATGAATAATATACTCCATTTAACAGTTTCACAAACCTTAGGCTACTGTGGGTGTGAACCACCCTGGCATCCATAGACAAATGTGGTGTCCACATACCCTAAACAGTATCTCTCTGCAGTCCCCACCTATCCCATTGCTATTTCAATACCTTTTGCCCAGTGGTTCTTGTATTAGGTTGTCAAAGACATCTGTCACTAATCCATTTCCAATTTATGTTTCACATAGATTAAAATAATGGAGTTTCTACAGTTTTATATTTTCCTTCCATAGAAGGTAATTATCCAAATAAATTTGGATAGGATATCAGGATACAAAACAGAGAGTTTATTGGACTCATTATTCATATATTTAGTATTTACTCTCCTACATTTTCACCTATTTTCCAATATAAGACCACTTCTTACTAACTGAATAAAGGAAAGTAGTTCAAGTTCTTTAATCTTAACTGTTTTGCTACTGATTCAAATTTAAAAGAAACAAAAGGTCAGTTTGGTATTTTATAGTAACACTGTGACAAATAACCTAGCATAAACAACTTTAAAAGGTGGAAAATTTTTTTTGACTTACATTTTCAGAGGTTTCAGTCTAAGGTCAGCTGGCTCCATTGCTTTGGTTTTGAGGGAAGACAGAACATCATAGTGGATAGAGCAGAGCCACTTATCTCATGGCAGCCAGGAAGCAGAGACGGATAGAAGAGGGGGCCAAGGCAAAGAATACTCTTCAAAGGCCTGCCCCAGTGATGCATTTCTTCCAACCAGGCCCACCCTCGTAGTTTCTGTCACTTCCCAATAACGCTATGAAATTATGAACCCATCAGTGGCTTAATCCATTGATTAGCTCAGAGCCCTTTTGAGTCAACTATTCCACTGGCTGGGAACTTGACAGTTCATACATAAACCATAACATAACACATGTGACTTTTTTTCCTCTTCTGGCAGTACTGGGGTTTGAACTCAGGGCCTTGTATTTGACAGGCAAGCACTCCACCTCTTGAGCCAATTTTGCCTTACTTATTTTTTTTTTCAGATAGAGTATCTTGTTTTTCCTCCTACTCTGCCTCACACATACTTGGTTTTATAGGTCTGCGCCACGCCTGAGTTTCCATGACATTAGTTTTTATTTTAAGCCAATTCTTCTTTCCATAGACCTCATATAACAGCATACAGAATTATGATTCACCTCACCAAAAAGTGACATTTCCTTATTTTTTAATCTTTATCATGCATATCTTAAAATTCAAAAAGAATAGTATGAAATGGCTTGTTAATTTTTTGCTCTATTTTTCCAAGATGGCTTAAAGGAAATATGGAATAGTGGTCTGAGTAGATAAATAAGTATAATTATTAACATTAAAGTGATCACATTTTTGACCCTTATAACATGTTAAGCTTAATGAAACTAGCAAATGCCCTTCTAGTTTATTAGATTAGCAATTAGGTGAAAATGTTGAAAGAAGGCTTATTTATTTGGACAGATATAGAGAGGTCAGAAATAGTTTTTGCATATCTTTTAATTGAATTCCCTTTTAATTTTCACAGCGGTGTCTAGTTAAATGTTCTTGTCAATGCTAGTGGCTTTCTGAAGGTCTAAACTAGATGTAGAGTCACAAAATCAACCCAGGTTGTTTAACCCTTTTCATCTAGTGTGCCAACAGGGACTTCCTGAGCAAAATCCCATAGTGTTTGAATAATTAGAAGCTAGTAATAGGATTTAATTAGTCCTTGAGATATACCAAGACAGAACCCCAAGAACTTTCCCGTTTGACACAGACCGCAAACAGAACTGATACTGCTGCAGGACTGTAACGTGCCAGAAAATAAATTCTGTGGCTGGAGGCAGTTCTTTGGTGCCATTCTGTGACTGTCTGATCTATACAGAGGCATCCTGGGTGAAGACTTTGAGAACTATTGAATAGCAGCCCCTTTTCTGACCTATACAAGGACCTGTTTTCCTCTCCACTGATTAGAAAGAGGAACTGTCAACAGAGCGTGCAGACTGACTGTACCTGATTGAGAAATGGCTCTTGCCATATCATTGGTACCAAAATTGGATGAGCTGGACTGATCATGCTTCCCAGCTCTAGTTGCAGGACCAGGAGAAAAGAGATGACAAAATTTTGCAGTTTTACAAGTTTCAGCTATTTTGTCTATCCAACATTGGGTTCCTGACAGTAGTCAACAGAATCACAAAAACTCTATGTTTGCAATCTGATCTTCACAGTGATATCAGTAGCCACATTTTTATAAATAGAAATAGTGTTGTTTCCCAGCAAATGTAGGTACCAGATGGCGTGTGATCAGACATTCAGATACTCTTTTTGTGTGCTATCAACAAAGGTGAATCAGAATTTCTTTACTTCAACAGTGTAAGGTTTCAAGCTTATGTATTTTATTTAGACTGATTGAATACAATGTGTCTTTATTATTCTTGTATTTTTTTTTGTTATTAACCCAAAGTTAACTACCTTGGTATGACTTTATTTGCACTAATTAATGGTGTATTTTAGCATCTTTTTCAAAGTCTGAATTGAATTTCTCATGAAATTTCTAGTCACATCTTGTTTGCTTAGGGAAAATCTTTCTCCTACTTTTTAATGCTGCAGGGGAAAACAGAGGTCTCTTAAAATGAATTTGTGTCCTTCTCCAGACTTGATTGTGCCTCTTGAGGGCAAACTGAATCTTCCTTATGCTCTGCCACATCTGTGCATTTACAGCAGAGCCAGTTGTGACCAGTGTCCAGTGGACATGAAGCTGGGTAGTTGAGTGTCAGTCAGCTCTTACACCATAGAGGGACTTTGGGTCCTTTCAAAGCACAGAAGGACAAAGAGTGAAATATTTCTTAAGAAAACTTACCATCTTGCCAATATAGGCCATTTGCTGTAGCATAGTATTTCTCCTGCGTGAATCGCCTAGTGTTTTGATCTTGCACCTACCTCTTCTGCACTCCATTTTTTCCAGAGATGTTTCTCCAACTATAATGTCCTTCTGTGCTGGGGATTCCATACTCACACCTGGAGCCTGGTACTAAATGAATAGTCCAGAGACCACCGTTCTAC